CATTATGGTAACTCTAGTCATAGGGCCCTTCGGCCCATGAAAAATCACAGGGCGTGCCCAGGCACGCCCGGCACGCCCTGTGCGCACGCCTATGAGTATATGAACTAAATGAATCGCATACATTAGAGTATATAAGTTGTATGTTTGCAAATTGTTTGTCGGAATGGAATATTTCTCATAGTCAAATTATTGCTGTTGTTACAGATAACGGTAAGTAATTATAGTAAACCATGCTTATAAATTATTATTTATTTTGTGGTTTTTTTTATTATGTCTATATACATTTTATTATTATGTTTATCTCATAACATTGATGTTTATGGTGTTAAAAATAAATTATAAAATCTTAGATAATATATTTAATATCAATAGGTAAACAACCATAGGTACTACAAGTTAATTAATGTTTTTGAATGAATTTGTTTTGTTTAGTTAGCAATAAATAATTTTTTATAATGAAATAATACATTAATATTAGAAGTACCTATAAAAGTAACTATTTTTTAAGGTGCAAACATAAAAAAGGCTGCACAAACTACATTTACCGTTGACAAGTTAATACCATGTATTGCACACACTATCAATTTAATTGCAGAAAAATCAATATCAGATACAAATAATTTGACTTCTTTACTTTACAAAGTACGGGGTATCGTCAAATGTATAAAAAACAACACTGCTATTAGTAATGAGTTAAGGAAATGTCAAACTAATGAAGGTAAATAGATTACCATATTTTCTACAATTATCTGATTAATTATTCTTTCTTTTTTTTTTTTTTATAGGAAAATCTGAAGGACAATTACTAAAACCTATTTTGGATGTAAAAACTCGCTGGAATAGTGTTTATTATATGATTAAAAGATTTTTGAAACTTTCATCCATTATTTCTTTAATTTTATTAACATAACCAAATGCACCAGACATGTTAACCAGTCGTGAATTAAATGATCTAAAAGGAATTTGTGCACTTTTACATCCTTTAGAAAATTTAACAACTAAAATGTCGGGTGAAAAATATGCAGTAATTAGCACAGTCATACCTTTTTTAAATTGTGTAAGAAAGTATTATTGTTGAATCAAATACTTGCATTGGTTTACAAAAAAATATTTTAAGTGAAATACATAGACGGTTCAAAGATATTGAAAAATTCAATGATTTCCCACTGGCTACACTTCTTGACCCCAGGTTAGTTAATTTTGATTCATCATTACTAAACAATCTTATTTATATATAAACCTAATTCATATAACTAATTACGGGATTGATAGATTTTTGATGATAGACGTGGGTGGATACGGGAAAGATAGCGTAGGTGGTGTTATAGTAAATCTTAAAATTTACCAACGTATCGAGAACGGTTCTCTTAAACTACCAAATGAAATAAAATTACCAAATTCGAACTTCTTGGCTTCTTTTGTATTTATAGGAGATGAAGCTTTTCCGTTGAGAAATTACTTAATGAAGCCTTTTCCGAGAAAGCAATGTCAAGAAAACGAAAAACAGTATTACAACTATAGACATGCGTGAGCACGAAGGGCAATCGAGTGTGCATTTGGCATAGCTTCATCAAAATTTAGAAATCTATTAAAACCAATAGAAACAAAAGTAGACAAAACAGTTGGCATCTGAAATGTTAATTCTAGTTAGATATTTTGGATTAATTATTGGTGATCTTATTTCTATTGAAGAACCAGTTAAAGAATCAGTCTTTACGTGAAGTTTTAGATATCATGCTATCACCTGCGTTTGAAGAAGAAAGTATTTATTTACTAAAAACGTTAGTAGCTGAACTCAATGAACTTTATTTAAAATGCAGCAAAAATTGTCTTAAATCTAAATTCCATTTCTTGGTACATTACCCATCTATGATTCAAAAGTTTGGTCCGGTTAGTCATATTTGGGCAATGAGATATGAGGCAAAACATAGAATTTTAAAAATTTGTGCTAGATCGTCTTTCAACAGACGAAATCTTTGTTTAAGTTTGGCAATTAAACACCTATTACTACTTAACGAAACTTTTTATAAGGGTCGATTATGTAATACTATTGATGTAGGTCCTTGTAAGATGATTAATTCAATTAAATGTGAACAAATTATTAATGAACTCAATCTTGATTTAAAAGAAACATTATTTCCTGTTACCTGGGCTACTGTTAAAGGTACATGCTACAAAATCAATAGCATACTAACTCAAGATATTATTGAAGATAATAACAATTTCAAATTTATTTCTGTCAAAAAAATATATATATATATTTACAGTTCTGATAAAATCATTTTTGAATTTATTCCATTTATTACTTTATGCTTTAATAAACATGTCTGTGCCTTCGAAGTGAAATTCGATGAATTTGTAGATGGTAATAATTTTATTTTCCAAAATTCTATAATTTCTCCTATACCAAATCATATAAATATTACTGCAGATGGAACTAAGTATATAACTTTGAGGAGTTCTCTGTAATGTATTGTTAACAAATTTGTAAAAAATTATAACATTGATAATGTTCAGTATACAAGTCTAAAGAACACTTTTAATAATAAACATAATTAATAAATTATCCCATTTATAAGATTATAAATGGGATTATTATTATTATTATTATTATTATTACATATATAATATTAAGTTTATAATTTGTTTTAAGTTTGTTGTATAATGTATCAATTTAGTGTAAATATTATTATATTATATTGTATATATATTAATTATAATATTATAATATCATTTAAATATAAAATAGCACATGTGCAAATTATTTAATAATGAAATTGTTATTTTTCCACTCTTTTCCTAATACAAGGTTTATTAATATTGACTAATGTTTCAACAGTCAGTGAAAAAAGAGGTAGCTCCAGGGACTGCCCCCCCCCCCCCAAGTTTGTATTACTGAAAAATTGAATAATGTTAACAACAAAATAACATTAAAAAAAACATATTATAATATCAACATTTTTCTGAAAATTGACAGTCCCCCTCCCAACCATGCCACTGGAACCGCCCCTGAGTGAAAATTGGTTGAAGTATGGCTTTTGGGTCTGGAGAACAAATCCGGAAAAAATAACAAAGTCCATATCACTACCATAGTACTATCACTACATCAATACTCCGCAGTGTTACCACAACAATAATAATTTTAGACTATTTTTTTTCACCCGTTCATTTTTTAAGTGCAAAATAAAATAATATCCCTGATCAAATTATTCTAAGTACAAAATAAAATTTTAAAAATGTGACTGACGTGAAAGCCCTTGGTTTTTTCAAAACCTATCGGAAACATACTTTTATAATTATAAAATTTCATTTTTCCGACCAGAAATATTTCAAATATCGTAAAATGTCCAAGAGTTTTTCGATTCGTACACCGTAGTAGAAAAATAATCAGCGGTCGGATTTCATTGTTTTCGATTTTCCGATCGATTTTCCCCATAGAGTATGGCTTTTGGGTCCAGGAAAAAATTTCAAAATATTGAAAACGTAAAAGAGGTTTTCGATTCGTACACCGTAGTAGAAAAATAATCAGCGGTCCGATTTCAGTTTGGCCGATTTGTTTGTGAGTACTCCGTCATTATTTGGAATTATCTTGTCATCGCAGCTATCTAGGGACAATCTAAAATTATATTTTATTAAATAGGTACAACAAAATATTGTTACTTTCAATAAATAAAAATATATACTTATTATTTATATCTAATATTATATATTTTAAATATATAATAATATATTTAGGTATTTTATAAAATATTTATGAACTTAAAAATGTGGTGGCCCTGAAAAGGGCCGTTTTAAATGGTTGGTTCTTAAAAGAACCGTTTATATCTTGTGCCGACGTATAAGATTTCTGGAA